ATCTCTATTTCTAGGTTTGTGATCTATCGCTAATTTTGGCTATCGCTGGCCTACTTTTTGTCATCATCGACGCCGAACTCACAGCACTTTCACCTACTACTCATATCACGAAGGTACACTTCCAATTTTGCACTTTGTTTGGTATTATTCTCGGAAGTACTCTTCAATTTGGTGTGAATGGTAAGATTATCTACAATCTGAAAAAGACGAGCGAGTGGGCGTTCATATAGAAACTTATCCTTGAGGATTAGGCCTGCAGTTCCCATACGCATCAAATTGCATAAGACGAACGCTTTATGCTCTCAGTTTGATGAAGGAGCAAGGGATTATAAAAGCTGGTAAACTGAGTTCACAACTAACTAATTCAATCAAACCCCTGATTAGTGACTCGACAAGCAAGTGAAAATGATGTAAATTTGAAGGATACCAAGTGAACCTTTCAAGAAGTATTGGTGCAAATGCATAAATCAAGATGCTCTTGCTCGATTTGAATCAATCTGCATAAAAATTTTACCCTGTTTAGGGTCATAACTTATCGTTATTTCTACGCTCCTTAGCTGTGCTCACAACTGTATGCCTCATGTGTTGTCTCATCAATTATCATGCTATAGAAGTGAGTTTTACTTTATATTATCATTTGCTATTCTACAACTGAAAGTGTTTCTAATTCAAATTATATCAACTCTTATTCTTTTTATAACTTTTTCTGGGGAAATAAGTATTAAAGAGTGTACGTCTGATTTTGGAGCACAAAATCCTCATCCAGCTCGCCCTCTAGATTTCTGGTAACCTCGGTATGGCTCCACCCACTTGCTATTGTATTCACTATTTTCAGGTTAAGATAGCCCTAATTGATTCTGGCGCCGACGATTGGCGTGTTGCGGTTAGTATGGATCGGATTATCAAGTTATCGATGGAGTTAGCCATCTGTGCCGTGTGCCCATTTCCAGGTTAGGTTTCCAAATTATCCGGTGGGGGACATCACGATTTAAGTTCTGAGAAAAGCTCAAGTCAGTGAAACGGGAAACGTTCAATAAGTATGATAAACAGAGAGTTTATGAAATGTAAGTATGTAAAAACATAGAAATGAAAACAGGTAATTGTTAAAATAATGAATAAAATCGAAGCAAATTCTTTCATTTTCTGCAATCGTTCAAAAAGTTACTTCACATGGATACAAAGCGAGCCAAAGTCTTGCGCGAGCAGTTTGAAGTTACTTGATAGAAGGACCGATTGGCGTAGATCTGTAAATTTTGGAAATTCGTCTTTAG